CTATCAAGCATAACCGCTGCGTAGCCGGAAACCGGCAAAAACTTGTCCAATCTCCCGGATTGCTCCGGTGGCGAAAGGTGAAGGCACCTCAAAGCTGAAGCGTTCGCTCGCGCGGCGAGGTCGGAAATATTGACGCAACACGACGACGTGGAGTTTATGCGGGAGTCGGATCGCAATCGCGAGTATGTCGCGGTTATCGACAAGTTGCTCATTCGCGTCTCGAAACCGGCCTGTCTTTAACGAGAAACTTTGCGAGAAGCGCGCGCGCGCGCGACAAGTTTCCACGACGGGAAATTCGAGCGGCGGTTCTGATACGCTACGGGGGGAGGGAGGGGGCGAAATCCGGAAAATCGAGGCGCGTTTCACCGATGGCAGCCAAGACGCCGCGACCTCGAACCGGCCAAACTGCGAAAGAACTCATTTCAAACGCGGAAATTCCTCGATTCGCGTCATCGTACTCACACGTACGGCACTCTCTAAAAGTCAATCAGTGGATTATCACTGAAAACAGTGAACATTCACTTATAACTGTTTTCAGTGATAATGCACTGAGTGACTTTTAGAAAGTACAGAATCAATTATTTCACCCGGAAATTCCGCGATGTCGATTCGCGTCATCGTACACTCTCGCGTGCACACGCGTACTCTTACACACACACACACACACACACACACACACAGCACAAACGAGAATCTCATTCCGAGAAGTTCCGGGTGTACCTTGTTCCAGGGCGCCGGCGACATCGCCTACATTAAGAAACCTCGTGGCGCGTAAGTAGTCGTGGGCCTCATTGGTCAGACAAGTACGGCGCGGAGCGGCGGCGGTGAAGTTTACCGGAACAGCTGTGCGAAAATGTATCGTCGTTATTTGTTCCTGGGGTAGTTTCTACCCACGGCTGGCCGTAGTCGCACTCGGTGTGCTCAATTTGCGCAGATAAGACCGCGCGGCTAACCCGAACGGCCTTAAGGAAAAAGTTAGAAACACATAAGGCTGTAATCCACGTGGGACGCTGAGGGAAGTTTACTAAGCAGAAGGTTTTCTTTCCCGGGCAACTTTGTTGGTCGTACCGATCTGGGAGAACTTAAACCATCTTAAATGTTTTATATCGAATGTGATCATCGATGGAAAAGTTAAAGATACTAATCTTTTCCACTTGAAGAAAAAAGAATTGTTTAACGCTGCTTGATAAAGGTCCAATTTTTACTCAAATGTGTATCTTACACGGAATTTTCTCTTAAAATTTACTCTGAACGTCATGTAATTGTGGCACGACATGGCGTTTTGAATAACTGTATGAAAGTTTTTTGAATTTATATATTCTGTGAGTTTATATATTCTTGCGTTTAGAATAAATTTTCCCTCCGTCTTACAACGCACGAAGTTGGCACCGCGATATTCGACGATACATACTGTCATTTTATTCTAGATATGAGAATTTTTTATTTAAGATTAAAATATTCCTTTCTCTGTAATAAGTGTGATTGGCGCTATATCGATCTTATTTTATGATACATTGAAGTGTAATAGCATTGGATCCGGTAATTTTTTCTGTGGGTGTAGTAGAACGTGTAGTAAAATTTCGCGAAGCCCTCATAAAATTCTTTGAAATGTCATGTTGTCCCACGATGACATGATACGTGTAACTAAAATTGTATCTTCACTCTTAAATATTTTTAATATCCCTGATATTGTTTCTCTTACAGAATTAAATGTAGTAGCACTTGGCTTAGTTAATTTGTTTCACTTTGCCGTTTAATTTATCGAATCCCAATTTGTTCTCACGTTTAAACGTAACACTCGTCGAATTTCTATCGAGTTTTGCCATTTTTAACACATTTATGAAATATTTGTCGTCCCTGATGATTAATTGGCGCATGTGTGCGTATAAACCACAAAAACTCACTTTTCGCTCGCAGCCTGGGCGATCACGTCAAATGCATTGTATCGTGATAGTAACTTCCATTTTCGATCGGTTCGCCGTCGATTCTCAATATCGCTGTACGGACGGCTTAATGAAATTTTCGAGGGTTTCGACTCTGCCATAAATTTCTATCGCCGACAGCGATCTCGTTCGCTGATACACAAAACCGGACAAAGTCGACGCGCGGAGTCGAGAGAGAATACTCGTAACTTCATTCTCAACTCATCGTAATTCTGCCCGCATGTACGACCCTATTTTCGTCGCAATGATTAAGATCGCCCGATTTATCCTATGGATTTATATCCGCGCGAAATGCAATCGTACGTCGCCCGGGGAGAGCTTTTGAATGTTCTACGTGACTCGCGATTTCTATACAAGTCTTTGTGAAATTCCTGCAATTTGTCTCCAAATTTCTATCGCGCGATCAATCTCGTTACTTTAAACATCAGCGCGATCCGCGCCAGCGTCATTGAGCCCGAAAATATGCAACATCCCCCCCCCCGCCCTCCCCACGAGGACCGAAATCCATTTCTGATATCCTTATGACGAAGCTGCCCTAGAAGCGTAGGAAAATGCGGTCTTACACATACCGGCGTGAACTTACCCACCCCCGGTCTCCGTCCCCGCTCCCTCCCGGCCCTCCGCCGTATCCCCGCGTCGTCCAATTCCCCATCGTTCGCGGTGGTGCGAGAACTGTTCGAGCAAAAGCGACCGGGTAAATATCTTGCAGTGCCGGTAAACGAAATTGAATAAACATTTTTCAGCAAATAGAGCCGACAATGGTACGAATTTAAAAGTCGCTGAGACGAGCACAGGTGGTTCCCCTGTCGCTGGAAAAAGCGCCGAACGGAAAAATTGCATTTCGCCTGCCGCCCCCCCGCTCCCCCCCCTCCTCTCTCCCTCGCTCCTCTCCTCGCATTTCGCTTCTCCCTCGCACATTTTTCGCCCCGCGTCGCCCCTCTCTCCCCTCCTCTTCTCATCTCTCCCCTGTCCACCCCTGCTTTCCGCGCCGCGACAACCAACCCCCATGAAGCTCCACCTTCGTGGAGGACGGAGCCGTCGGTGATGTAATCGACTTTTGTGCCGGTTATCCTTCGATTCTCGCTATGAATTGGTTATAAATGCTAATGTACGAGCCCAGGCTGCGATGCAATCTCTGTGAAATAACGTTTCAACATGAGACGCGCAGTTTTTAAATTTGACGGAATTCTAACGAAACTCCGTGGGATTCCGCGAAGTTTCACGATAACGGCGAGGCACATTCGGTACATCGGGCAAAATCTGGCAGGAACAATGTGCCGCGGTGCATGTACCCTCGAATTTATTTTCATTCGGTCTAATTTCTCTCCCCCGCATTGTTCTCCTGCGTTAAATTTTATAATGATATATCAACGTTAAATTTAAATCGCGCATTCCGCCGCGCGTTCCATAAGACGCTCGCTTTAAACGTCTAATCAACGAGCGTTACCTTTGTGAAAAAAAAAAATGGAGGTCAATTCTCCCGAGGCGCGCCTTTGTCGTCTTTAGAATAAAGGCGGACGGCGTTCGTCGCGCGCCAGCGATCATGCAATCTTGCAACGTCGTCCGCACGATGTACGGGTATAAAGGGAGTACCGATAATTATCGGCGGTAAGTGATAAATAAAAGTAGACAATAACGATGGAATATTAATGGTTTTACGGGAACGCTCGCGACGTCGGGAACGCAAGCTCGTAAATAAGTCGTAAAAAAAAAGGGGGGGGGGCGGAGGGAGGAGAACTGCAAATCGAGACGAAGGAAGGAGAGATCAGGATCCGATTTACGATCGGCGGCCCGGCCTGGCAGTTTGTTCCGCGGCGGGATCGTTCCTTCGCCGCACAGAACGGGAGCCGATCGAGCGCGACGATCGATCACGCCAAACGATAAATTAGCGTCGAGTTAGTATCCGACGTGCTTGTGCTTGGGCCGCGGTGTTCCGCGCGCGAGTGCGATCGCCGAGGAGCGCGGCCTCGTTATACAAGACCGTGTATATTGCGCGTATTTAGACGGCTGTGAATGCGAATGGCCGGTGGAGGGTGAATTTTGGGAGATGTTCCGCCATTATGCGAGCGAGCGCCGAATCTGACTTTCCCTCGCCATTACCGAGCTCTCCCACGACTGCGCTATTGTTATGACCGCTCGGGTTGGAATTAATTCCGGGATATATAATTAGGGAATCTTGTCTAATTACGGGGAAGACATTGTTCGCGCCAGTTGGGACGACTCGGGCGGCGCGGCCGATATTGTTTCGCGTATTTCAGCGTTAACAATATCCCGCCGACATTTTTCTGGACGCGGATCGCGCCCCGCGGCTTACGCATTATGCAAATGGCCGTTCATGAAAGTTTCAAAGCCGGCCGAGTATATCCACCGGGCGATCGAGTCTTAAATCACGGTGAGGAGTGAGGAGGAGACGGTTGTCGCGGGGATCGGTTGATCTTGGCTATGCATTTATGGATGCCGAGCGTACGAAGAAAGCAATATTTTCCGCGCGGAATCCGTCGCCGTTGCCCCGGTATCCGCGGACTTCCATCCCGGCAGCCGTCTATCGCTCGTCTCCCCGAGACTCGTCTCTTCCTTTTCTCTACTTGCCATAATGGTAGAGTCTACCATGACCGTCGATTATTGTCCCCCGTTGGAGAGGCTGCAGGTGACCGAGTGCAAGTACACGGGAAAACACGTAGCTCGAAAGTTTCCCGCGATTTCCCCCAGGGCCCTCGAATAATTCTACGTCGAAAGTCCTTCTGGAATTCAACCGTCTTTCTTAGGACGTCGAAACAGTCACGGACGAGCAATGCCGATGTCGGGATTCTCACAAATTCCGGCTGGAAATAAAATTCGCTCGGGCGCATTGAATTCTCCGATATTACGGAAGCACGAGTGTCCCCCGTAAAAAAGTACGGCCGACATATAGATATAATTTGTTGAATCGCTTCCGCGGGTGCGCCAAACAGTTTTATCGAGACCGCGGGGTTAACGATCGAGTGTCTTAACGTTAATTACCTAACGCTCTTTCGAGGGGAGCAGCGTGAGTAATCGAGTCTCTTTTTCTCCTTTCAGAGCCCGGCGAAGCGCGAAAGTGGCGATGCTCCTCAAGACAGACCCCGGGACGACAACGCGCGATTTATTTACATGCCGCGCGAACGCAAGCGAACGCTCTCCGCTCGTGGCGCGTGAAAGACGCAAGTAAATCACCGCTTCGACTTCGGGCGCGCTAATCGGCTTTCTGTTGTGCGGAAAGTCCAATTCTCCATAGAGAACCGCGCGCGGCCGCCCGGCGGCGCATTAAAGCCGCGCGGAAATTCGTCGCGGACGAAGAGATAAAATAAGGAAAAAGCTCCGCTAAAACATTCAGCGGGCGCGCGAACCGGCGCCCACGGACGTGCATCGGACTTGCTTATTACGGAAATCCAGTTTGTTGGAATGAGGCTTTGAAGTTTCTATCGCCCGCCGACGAACCGTGCTCCACCTTCTTCCGCTGCCATTCGTTTTTTGCGCTCGGAGCCGAAGGAAAGATGGGAGAGCGGAAAACTGAGCGGCTTCGCATTCAGACGGTAAGGAGAAAGTTTAAGTGACTCATAGAGACTCTTTCGAAAATTTCCTCCGTGCCGTTCTCCAAGTTTCTGTTTTCTCGGGTGAGAGAGCGGAGCGGAGGAAGAGAAGGAGAGAGACAGAGAGAGAGAGAGAGAGAGAGGGAAAAGAAGGGAGAAAAGATTAGCAGCCACGGTTACTCGAAGGCGTTATTTTTCACCCATTTTCCACGTGCCGCGCGGTAATGCATTAGTCGGCGCGAAGTAACACTTGTATCGCGATTCGTTCGCGAACTTAAATTAAGTCGCATAACTCGAGCCGTTAATACCGCGCGAGGTCGATGTCGCGAGCAGTGAATAATTGTTCTCGCGACGTCACGGCGCGACGTTTGCTTTCTATTTTCTCATAAAAATTAAGCGAGAAGTCGCTAATTGAGCAAAGTTTTATCAATCACCGCGTATCATTTCCTCATCCCTCGTGACTTTGCTATAGAAACTCCACTCACCGTGGCTAATTGGCAACAATGTTGAAATATTAAAAGCCGGAAGAAGCTGAATTTATAAACTGGCCTTTTTCACATATCTCCATCCTCGCGAGAGAACATTTTTACAATATTAGCCGTCAGTGCTCGGGTAACAAAAGGGTTCTGGGGAGGTAACTAATATCGCAGAACATATTTCGAACATCGATTTTCTCTATAGAATTCCAATCCACATTCCAGCCGGGACGATCCCGCTATGGAAAAATGACGGAAGTGTCCGCGCTACGTACGATCGAGCGTCCCTTTGGCGTCAGAGGATCCTTCCAGGGCATCATTCGGTCGGGCGATTTCGACCGCGCGTCGTAATAAGAAATCGACGGTGACGAGAATCAGGGTGACATCTGGCCGAATGACGCCGGCGAGTTTGAGTGGTGGTCGAAGGCGAGGATCGCGAAGAGAGATTCCGTCCCCTAGATTATAGCTCGCGCGAAACTCCAGTCATGCGGCTGCGGCGATTGAGTCTACGGGATTCGAGGACGCGCGTACGAAGAAAACCCAACTACAAGACGCCGCTTCTGCCGAGAGTACCGCATCGCGCTATCGCCAAGTATGCCGATCCGAGATAATTCTACGCGCAATCTCGTGACGAGCGGACGAACGAGCGCGAGGAGACAGCGGGCGGAGTAGCGATCGCGTCTGAAGAGAGACAACGGAGCCCAGACCTTTGACACGTCACGTGCGTCGCGGAGCGCGTGAAATTATCAGCGAGAGCCGATGCATCTCTCGTCGTCGGCCGCTGATCCCATCGTCGCCAGAAACAAGTGGTGGGTGGCAAATGCGCGCGTACGGCGACATATCCGGCGATAAACGCGAAGCTGACGGCGACAGGACTCGGTGACTCTGTAGATAGGACAAGGGAGAGAGAATGGAGAAGGACAACGTTAGACATTACAGAGCTTACGAGGGCTTCAAGCCGGCGAACAACGGCAACACCTCGTCCCTGAAAAGATCGACGTCGGAACGCTCCAAGACGCACCCGTCTCGCCAAGTGAGATGCCTGTGCTTCGGCGGCGTCCCCGACAAAGCCAGCCAGCATTCGTTCCTCAAGGGGTTTATCATAAACCTCGGGATATGCGCCCTTCTCGTGGCCTACACCCTCTTGGGCAGCTTCATCTTCCTGGCCATCGAGAGCGGCACCACGGACGGCGCTGGCCCGCAACAAAGGACCCTCGCCACGACGGTAGCCGGCAATCAGCACACCAGGAGAAACACCAGCGCTTGGATAAAACAGGTGAGAATATATTGCAACTTTTGCCCGCGTCCAAATTGGATGTTTCAGCGGCAATTTTTCACTTAGCGGTAATTCAATCGTTCTGCTATCTCCCCTTCGAAGAGAAATATCGCCGGCGCACTTTTAGCGCGAGCGGAAAACTATCGGGACATATTTTTAGATCATGCACAATTTCCTTTCCAAGAAGTAGCCTCGTTACGCTCGCGAATGTGTAGCTGTAGATCATGGACTGCAAGAAGTTGCATAGCCACCCAACGAAGATGCACGACGAAACTGTTCTCGGGCTCGGAAAGTCGTAGATGTACAGGTATTCCCGTAATAACTGTGCAGTATTTGTACGCTACACACAAGCGAGTACAATAAGAGTAAGAATAATAGAAGGGGAGTAAACAGATTTGTTGATACTATAAGTGCATCACGGCTGTCGTTGCCGTTGTCGCGGACGTAAGCCACGGGCTTGTTTTTGCTTTGCTTTCCCTGGAGGAGGAGCAAACAGTTCCGGCGGCACCAGTCCTCGATTTATCGTCACGTCTCCGGTTTCATTCCGCTTTTCTACCTGAGGTGACCTCAGTGAACCCGAAGTCAATCGAATTATCGGTGCGTTCTGGCGCGAGCGCTCGTTTCAACCAAGTTTTATCGATCGTGCTTCCTTTCCGCTATCCTTACGCTTTACAGGAAAAGCGTATTCCCGGAGGACGCCGGCACAAAGGCCGCTGTCTGTTGCTTCCGGCCAATAATAGCGACAACGGATTGTTCTCTCGATAGCAATCGCTCATCGGCAAACGATTGAATATTCGCGTGTTCTTTTTATAAATAACTTCCCCCTGCTTTTACCGTTGCGCCGCGCTCGGGGAGGTAAAAAAAAGCGGGTTTTTCGTTGCATTTTATTTAAACTCGCCTCCTCTCTGCGCGAAACTCGTGGACTTTATGGCGTAACGGTCCAACGGTGAAGCAATCGCGCCGAGTTCACCGTTTGTCGCGAGACGTAAGCTGCGAAGCGTGCCGGCATTCACGTCTGACGTGCGTTAATTAACGAGCGTACGCGAGTTTAATTTAATCGACAGTACGTCAGTTATAATCTTAAGACGAACGTAGACGTTAGGTCCACACACGGTACCTGACGATAATTCAAACGTCGGCTAATTAATAACTTTCCGTGTTTGCACGTAGCTGAATCACGAGGCCCGCACCAAGACCGTGGAGAACATATGGATAATCACGGAGCATTTGAACGTTCTCTACCGTGAGAACTGGACGAAACTGGCCGACCAGGAGATCGCGCGATTTCAGGAGCAGCTGGTGAAAAGGATCACGGAGGACATGATGGCGAGCCAGGCCGCCGGGACGTACACCGGGAGCTCCAGCGAAACTGTAACGGAACGCCGTGTGCCGGAGTACGAGTGGAACTTCGCGAAGGCGTTCCTCTATTCTCTGACGGTGCTCACCACAATCGGTAAGTTTCAGACGCCATTAATTAATTATAACGTCGCATTTCGTCCGGCGCTTTAGCCGCGACACCTCCCGCCGCATTCTCGTAAACGTAACGAGAGACCACGGCGAATCCGGGTCCGTGATAAAATGGGCGGTGGCCGTGTGTCAACTGCAGGGACCGTAGAAATTACAATTTTTCTCGCTCGTGGAACTTTTTGACGCAATAATACATTTTTTTTCTACTCCTCGCGAAAGAAGCGCGATGTCAAATTCAGAATTTGCACGCTAATCGAAACATCCGTGGTTTGACGCTAAAAAAAAAGTAATCTCGCTGATGCGACGTGATGCAATAACGGGAATAATAATAACTGGAAATGTATCATTCGTAAATCGCAGTACGTCTGCGGCAATCGCAGTAATGACATGATAAACAACGGTGTACAATCAGTATCAGCAAGCATACGCGTCGAAACTACAAAGTGCACAGATGATGTTTGCCTCCCTGCTTGAACTTGCGCGATTTCCCATCTGCGCAAGCACTGTACATGTGTACGAAGGCATAAGTTTACACGAAAGGAGTGTCGGCGTAGCAGAATATTTGTACGTAATTAGTAGGCTGGGGTAAGCAGAGGCGAGCACCGGAAAGACATTGGAACACAGACAGATAATTAGTTGAATCAAATGCTACGTCAATTAGCCCGCGATGTTAGTTAGGGGAACAATCCTGGCGTTAATGGCATCGATAATGTAGCTTGCAGTTCCGTTCAACAGTTTAAAACAATTTGCTTAAATAATTTATAAACTAACTTCCTTACTTCGAGCATTAAGATTCGATATTTTCAGATAAGCCGTTCAACTTCCCCTCGATCGCGCGTTCGTCATTCGTGAAATAAAATCCAGAAATTTCATCGAAATTTCGTAGGATCCCAATTACATTTACGAGTCGCGAGTAAACCAAAAGCAATATTCCGCAATCAAAGGTGCTCTCGTCGCTAAAGCAAAGCGACATTGATCGAGTATTACATTACGCGATTTGAAATCGTCATTTACGAAGCGAAGAGAACGAAGATAATATGGCGAGTCGATTTTTGGGACAAACAAAAGTCCGTTACCGCGTAATAGCCGTGCGTTGCGGATATGTTGTCCGTCTCAAAAATATCGGTTTCCCTCATTCTTCGACAATTTCATTGCTGTCGACTTAGTGGCACTGAAAGCGAGTGACGTCACGTCCAGTCGTTTACTCGGGTTATTACCGAAACAGATTGGTACTTCATGAGTCGGTGGATATTTAAAAAGAACGAAAGTAGGTAATGGTCGGGGATATCAAGCGGCTTATCGAATTATCGATACGATATACACTTATACCTTTTTTTAATGCCTTTAACTACTTTAGTGGATTCCTCGAAATGACCTTCGATATTACCGATACGTGTACCGTATTCGAGTTCTAATCGTAGTTGGTTTTTCTTGTTTCACACGAATATTCCATAAGAATAAATGATTTCAAATAGTTTAATAAGCTTATTATAAATTAATTAAATAAAATATATTTGTATATATTGTTACTGCAATTTCACAAATATCTTTTATAATGTAAGGTATGGTTCTGCTGCAATCAATAATAATCTTGAATATTATTTTTCATTAATTCTCTTCGTGCTATAAAAATCAATATTGCATGGGCAACGATATTACCGATACGTGTACCGTATTCGAGTTCTAATGGTAGTGTGTTTTTCTTGTTTTACACGAATATTCCATGAGAATAAATAATTTCAAATAGTTTAATAAGCCTGTTATAAGTTCATTAAATAAAATATATTTGTATATTGTTACTGCAATTTCATAGATAATTTTTATAACGTAAGGTGTGGTTCTGCTGTAATAAATAATAATCTTGAATATTATTTTTCATTAATTCTAATTTTAGCATCGTACTATAAAGAAAATATTGCACGAGCAACATTGTGCTTGAGGTTTAAAAACTATCGAATAATTATTGATGTAGCTTTTATTTCTGCTCTATGCAGCTTCTCTGCCTCTGGTCTACTGAATGCACCATCCATTTCGAGCTCCCTTTAATTTCACGCTTTGCGTGCACCTACGGAAAACATTCAATGACTACGAGAACTCCACAGACACTCTTTTTTTTACCAGGACGGTTTAATCATATGCTGCGCCGCAGCCGGGTTCTCGGAAATTAATATTTTGTAACTCGCATCGGCTCGTGTGTTTATAGGTAGGAAGCCTAGGCGATTGATCGTCGGCGAAATACGTAAAATCCCATGGGTCGCGTGATGTAACATTCGCAATTTTCGCCGGCGATGTATATAAAGCGGGGCATAACGCGCGCATCCGTACGTAGGTGCAATCGCGGCGAGGAACACGCGTGTTCTATGCATTTTAATATAAATTTTAGCGCGCGCGTTTTCCGTCCACGGCAAACAGGGCGCCGGCCATCGGTACGGCCCTCGTCGTTACGGGGAAGATCGGTTTTACAGTTATTACTGCGCGGATAATTGGAAAATCTTATTATTTCTGACGTTGGAAGCGAACAATTCGTTCAATCTTGCTCGGGTGTCGAGGTGTTTCCTATTACAATTTGTTGCGCAACCGTGACCTCGCGCAACGCCATACCGACGACTTGCTACGCCAGCGTCGTCAGCAACAGGATCGATAATGGTACAGTTCCCAACAGGAAAACGGCATAGAAAATTAATCTGATCTGGCGAAGTTCGCTCCCGTCTTGTTCTAAACTGACCATTTCTACCACGTCCGCGTTGCGTCGTTCTAAATAAAACACTTGTCCTACTATCGCTCGGTTTTTGGCTCGCAGACAATGTTCGGGACAACTGGAACAATCTATAGCGACAAGAAAATCTTTGATTTTTATCGGCAAACCGATTTGAATAAAATAACATCCTTTTCGTACAGTGCGGTTCAAAGTTAGAACAACCTGGAACAATTTTAAAAATTATAATTTTCAAAGTGTGGGGGGGGCGGCTAACTTCATACACTCCTTGCAGACACGAAACGTACGATTGTCGTTGGTACAGTTTTCCTTTTTCTTCATTTTTCCGACATCGTATAGTGGTTAATTACGGGAAGTATCCCGGGTACTTTTTATCGGCTTGTCCGAGTACGAAAATATTGTTCAGCGAGTCAACTGCGTGCCGGCATAATACTAAGCGGATACTATCGCTCGTAACTTTCCGCGAGCAAAAAGTAAACGGACATATCAACCGTAGAAATGTGAGGAAAACTTTTTGTCTCTATGTATACGTTTCGGCGTGTGTTCGACCGCGAGCCGTAAAATCAACTCGAATGAAGTTTTAATTGGAGTATATAATCATTAAAATAAAGCTTCATTTAGTAGACTAATTAACGTTTTTGTATTGCTCCGCACAAAGCTAATTCAATTGTTATGTGTGATCTATTTACGCTTTAATTACCTTCTACCGGACAAACTGCTTTTGAGATTAACTTGATGGAAAAATGTGTGCCAGCGCAATTTCCAAATTTCATTTATACTTTTTGACAAAAGCGGATTTTGCTTGCAAAAAGTAGAATTTTCGGACACGCTCGCTTCTATTGGCGGGAGCGGGAGGGGGAATTTTAGCAAAACAACAATGTTCTATTGAGAATGCGCAAACACATCATGGAGATGAGTAAACAACTCCCGGCACGTGAACGGGAACCGTCCACTTTTAGGACAACACTTTCTCCCATTTATTCGTCGCGTTCAGTTTGTTGACCGTTTAAATTACGATTGAATTTTGGCGCGAAATTGTTTTCAACTTTAATCGTTCTTGAAGAATATGATAAAGATTTTTAATGCCGTCGATTACTGACTCTGGAAAATCGAATTAAAGGTGATCTGATAGGAGGTAAAGCGCACAACATTTCCAGATAAAAAAATTGAAAACAATTATAGACGTTCGTATTTCATGTTTCATCGGCTTTTTTTTATGGCAATTATTGAAAACAGAAAATTGTTGTGATCATTAATTAAAACAATGCACCGCTTTCGCTCCAATATTTCGAAAATTACTACGTACAAACACATTGCAGTAAAAAATTTATTAAATTTATTAAATTTTACTGTTGCTTCAAAAACGTATCACGTCTCCAAAATGTTCGCGAAAATACTTTTGCCGCACTGTCGGTGTGTATCAATTTTATTCGCTCTTTAATTGAAAGGAATAATTTTAAAAGCTTTCTTATGCAGATACAAATTATATCGCCATTGTTATCGCTGTTTCAAGACTCTTTTATAGTGTAAATGATTTTACAAATGAATTCTGTTTATAGAAACTCACAATGCGTGTGTAGGTATCATGAAAAAAGAAAGGCGACGAAATTGCACAAAGAGCAAGAAGAATCGCTTATTTGAAATTCACTTTAGCGAGGTGCTCTCGAAAGGCATAACTGCTCTGCGGAAGTATCAAACTTGCACAGACATTCAATGTTTTAGAGCCTTAACTTCCTTTGATTTTATATTCTTCGAGTCTGCGTTAGACGGCCCGTAGGGCTCCTCCGCTTTTCTACTTTATCCGCCTGTACACCTCTCGCTACGACTCCATCCTGTCTCAGTGGCGCATAATCCAGTTTACGTATCGCAGGAGACGAATCATCCGTTTGCATTTCACGATATGAGGTCGCATGAATATTTGGCCGTCTGCCTCTCCGCAGGCAAGAGTTACGTATTCGGAAAATAGTTGGAGCACCACCGCGCGGCTGGACGGGGACCAGGGAGCGACACGGGCTCTCCAGGACTATATCCTCTAAAGTGACTACTCGCTTCTTCCACTTACCCTAATCCGCGATATTCTCAATACGAATTTACGTATAGCTGTCTTCCTAGCGCATCGCTTCCGCTTGACTTGCAACGATGCCTGTCATTTATGGTGAATCGATTCCCATTGTGAAGGCGCGAGTACGTCGTAGGAAAACGTGTGTGTTTGTCTACTTCAGTTCAAATCTCTGTGAGAGATATTTCCATTGACGTGTTATTCGGAAATG